GAGCTGCAGGGGATGCAGGGATGCTGCAGGGGATGCAGGGATGCTGCAGGGGATGCAGGGATGCTGCAGGGGAGCTGCAGGGGATGCAGGGATGCTGCAGGGGATGCAGGGATGCTGCAGGGGAGCTGCAGGGGATGCAGGGGAGCTGCAGGGGATGCAGGGATGCTGCAGGGGATGCAGGGATGCTGCAGGGGAGCTGCAGCTGTGCTGTTGTTGCAGGCTGCCACGCTGCCCAGCGAGTACAAGGAGGGGAAGCTGCAGGCCTTCAGGCTGCTCTGTGCCATGATGAGCCGGCGCCAGGACCTGCTGCCCAACTCCGACTTCCTGGTGCATTTCTACTTGGTGCTGCGCCTGGGGCTGACCAGCGAGGACCAGGTACGGGCTGGGCTCCAGCTGCAGCTGCTGCTGCTGCTGCCAGGACCCAGCACAGCTGCGGGCACTGCGGCTGCCCTGCGCCCCCCTGGCCTCGGTGCCAGGCGAGGGAAAGGCTTCACCGGGCTCTGAGGTGATGGTTGTCCCACAGAAACGGCCTGGTGCTCGTGGGAACGTGCAGAAATGATCTTTGCACAAATTCAGGACTCATCTGTGAGCACTCCCAGGTTTTTATAGCTGTAGGAGCCAGAGCAAGGGCTGCAGCTCTGCTGGGGGTGGCAGCAAGGAAATTCTGGGAGTTACTGATGGTGCCTTTAGGAAATGAGCCAGGTTGGATTGTTTCTGAGATGGAAGAGGGAAAGAAGGAATTGTTACCAGGCTCCTGCCCCTCGGTCTCCCTCCTGGAAAGTTAGAGCATTTGGAAAACACTCCTTTTGAACAGGTAGGAATAGAGGCAGGGGTTTCCTCCTGGGAGATCCCAGGAATCCTGCTGCAGCTGCACATCCCTCTAAGGTTCCCTGCATGTTTTGCAGCCCCACACTGCAATCCCTCCGTGTCTCCCTGGATGTTTGCAGCCCCACACTGCAATCCCTCCGTGTCTCCGTGGATGTTTGCAGCCCCACACTGCAATCCCTCCGTGTCTCCCTGGATGTTTTGCAGACTCTGCTGCTGCTCTTTGTTCTTGCTCTCCACTCTGGTGGCTGTGTTTGCCTCTTGGTGGCACACTTGACCGCAGGTTGGCTGCTGTGTGTGTGTGTGTGTGTCCTTGCCTGAGCTGTGGAACAGGGAGAGGTGTTAACTGGCGGTGCCTTGGAGCCAGGTGTTGATGGGAAGCAGGGTCCTTATTCCTGCTCCTGTATTTCCAGGGCCATGGGCCCCAGGGTGCTCCCTGGCAGCTCAGAGTGCCAGCCTTTTTGTGACAGGATACTGGAACAGGGATCCTAGCACGCTTTCTAGGATTTCAGAAATAAAATAAACTTGGGGGTGGCCTTTTTAGCACAGAATGGCAAATTTTGGCACAATTTCTCTGCTAGGCACAGGCATAAACGTCTCCCTTGTAAGGAATGTTCACAGAAGGCAGGGTGGGAGCTGTCTCATGGAGGAATTTTCCTCCTGTGTGGATCACTAGTTGCAACTTGTAGCATTTATGTGGGAAAGCCACAGAAAGACAGCCCAGCTCCAGGAAATCACCTTGGCTACTTCAGAAGAGCTTTTTAGGTGGCTGCACTATTAGTAAAAGTATTACAGTGGGGAACCTCTTTGACCTGAATGGTTTTCAGTATTTTGGTTTGCGTGACAGGTGTTTTTATTTTAACCGTATTTATCTTTTCACTCCTCGCTCACTTAAGGATGTGAGAATAGGAAATTGCTGCTGTGCTGTGTATCTTTCAGGGCTGCTAGAAAAACAAAGCAATCAGGTTTTGAATGTGCTAGCCAAGAGTGCAGTGTCATTCCCAGCCTTGCAGCCCGGTCTCGGGGGTGTGAGGCTGGATTTTATGGGAGGCTCCCGCGGCTCAGCCCGGGATGGAGCAATTAGCTCAGCAGAGGAGACAGCGGGGTAATGAGCTGCAGCTAATTTGTCCTCGTGCAAGTGTCTGACAGCAGCCATCCCTGGAGAAGTCAACAACTCTCTGCAAGGGTTGCATCACCTCTCCAGGTGGGAGAAGGGAGCACAGGAGGGGTCAGGGGCTGAGGGAGGTGTGTGGGAGCCTTCCTCCTGCACTGCTGCAGCCCTGGCCCTGCACTGCTGCAGCCCTGGCCCTGCTGGGCAGCCCTGCCCTCTCTCCCTGGCCCTTTATGAGCAGTGTTCACTGGGGCTCCCAGCTTCCCCTCCCCGTTCTCCAGCGAGAAGGGAAGGAGCTGGGACGTTCCCTACCGGGCTGGGGCTCAGGGAAGGTGCTGCACCTGTGCTCAGGGGCTGGGAAACCAGGAAATGTCCCTGGGCTGGTTTGTAGGGATGCTGTGGGATAGCCTGCTGCAGTCTGGCTGGGCATAGCTGCCTTCTGCTGCCAGGTGAGGCTGCTGCTGGTCAGAGCACTCCTGTCCAGCAGCTGCAGCCAGGCGTGTCTTTTGGTTTGGGTGATAAGTGCAGCTCCTTAAATCAACCCAGAATCACACTGCAATGCACAGGTTTTACAAATAACCAGGGAAAGAAATGTATTGTTGTTATTATTGCTGCTTACTGTAACAGTGCTTTTTGCTTCGTTCACCTGAAAAAGTTGATAAGCATCTCCTTGCTCCACATCCTCCTTTTTGCTGGATAGCAAAAGTACCAAAACACAATCCCAAAAAGCTACAAATGCTTCTCAGAAAATCAGCTGTTGGCATAATTGGGATTCTTTAGCTCAGGTGGTTCTGGCACTTAAATGATCCTTTGAGGTTGCTGGTGGTTGTCTCCTGAGAATTAATTCTGTGGACTTTTGTGCCACCGTTTCTTATTTCTGTCTGAGTTTCTGCTCATAGTCTGAGGGGAGGAGGCAGTGCAGGTGAGGTGCTCCCCTCGTGGGACACTGTAAAGAGAGGCAGGTTTTTAATCCTTTTTTGGGTTTCAACTCTCCCCTGCTGGGTGTTGTTTTTTTTAGCCAGTCTCACCCTGTCACCAGGTGAGCATCAGGTGCTGTGCCTGGTGACACCTGGCACTCAGGCTACCTGCAAAGGGAGCAAGGGAGTCACCTGTATTCCTGACTTTGGAGTGAGTTTAACAGATTTGATTGAAGTATGATCATACAAACTTGCCAGAGGACCTCTGGAGTGGGATCCTGGGGTTTTAGGGCGCACAGTCAGAGGTGGAGTCTCCAGAGGTTCTCTGTGGAAAGGACAGTAGACAGCCAAGGAAGGAGACTCTGCTGGTGCCTTTGTCAGTTCAGTGATATGAGGAGCAGAACAAACTTTAAATATGGAATAAGAGGGAAGTCCTGGCAGTCCAGCTGAGCTGGCAGATGTCCTGGGTGATTAAATGTCAGCACAAGCAGCAGGCCTGCCCTGGGGCACAGCCTGCCTGCAGCCAGGGCACTCAGCAGCTTTGCTGTAGCTCAGTTCCTTGGAGCAGTGCAGGGATGGATCAGCAGCTCTGTCTGTGGAGGTGCCCATTGTCCATAAACCTCTTTATTTGTTCCAAAGGCCCTGGAGGTGATGATGGCAAGGAGGCTGCAGCAGCTCTGAGCTCTGTAGAAACACCCCCTGGAGCTCCCTGTCTGTGTGGGAAATGGCTAATTTGCAGTAGGAAGCATTTTTCAGCAGAGCTGCTGCCAGAGGAGTCATGAATTACCTGTTTGTGTTAACACTGCTCTGACACTAAGAGAACCCCAGCATCTGTGGATCTTTGGGTGCAGTGCTCACTCAGCAGCTGTGCAAAGGCACAATAAATGAGCAGTTTTGCTTTTGTCCCGTGGAATGGGTGCTTCTTGCCTGGATTTCTGCCTGATGGTGTTGCACTCGAGGGCCCTTGGTTGCACAGGAACCATCGTGCTGTTTAGATTCTTTCCCAGGCTGCCATTTAAAAGGGAATAACCTTAATGTAGTCTATTAAGGCTTGGATTCCCCTGTTTTAGCTTCTGGAGACTTCTTTCCAGTGGCTCCCTCTCTTAATCCACCCCTTATCTCACTTTCTGTAGAGAATTTGCCTGTGTGCTCCCATTATGTGCTGTGAAGAAGTGTTAACAGACAGCACGTTTGTTTCCAGTAGGGGCAAACAAAAGTCCAAATGCCAGGGTCTCACAGGAACCCTGACATCCCCCTGTGCTGGCCCAGAGAGGGAAGAGCACAGAGCTGGGAGATTCTGGCAGCGAGGGGGAGCCAGGTCCTGGCAGCTGCAGGAGCTGTGCCTCCAGCAGAGCTTTTGCTGGTTTTGTCCTGTTTGTTTGCCCTTCCTGAGCTGCATCCTCGCTCCCCGCTGCTGGCTGTGGTCAGTGCTCTGTCTGAAGTGAGTGCAGGGCTGTGCACCCACAGCCTCGGCCCTGTGCCCACTGCCTGCTCGGGGAGTGCCCTGTGCAGCCACAAACCTAAATAGTAAATGCTTATTCCAGTCCTTTATCCCAGTGCTCTCCCCACTTGGGAGAGTGTCAGACGTGCTCCAAAATGGGAGAAATCTAAAAAAATCCCTCTGTTGTATTCCAGCCTCCAGGGACTTGGGCTATGAAATGTACCTGTTTTGGGGTTAGCTTTTACCTGGCACCTTGGAATGGAGCTTTTTGATAAATTAACCCTGCCAAAATACTTGGTAAACTTGTGTTGGAACTTTATTTTTGACAAATTAACTCTTGCCTAAAACGTCACAGTAGGTAGGAAAACTTGGCACAAGTAACTGGAAGCATTTGTTCCTTTAAAGTGGAAAAGGAAAGTCTTAAATCTTCTGTAAATAAATGATCTTCCCCGTGCCGCAGATCTCAGCTGCCGGTGAGGAACAGAGTGAACTTTGAGTGAAAAATCCGTGTTGTTCCTGCCGAGGGAGAGTTGGAAACGTGAGGAAGGCAGCTGGCAGGCTATTTGGTTACACCTGTAATCTGCAAAAGCCTGAACAAAAATTAGGTAAAGAATATTTTTGCAATTGACCTTTCAGTGAACTTGCATAAATTTATTTCACTTACTCAGTGGATGTTTACGACCTTATAATTTGAATGGCTGGATTAAGCTATGCTGAAATATGATGCCCTTTATAGGGTTAATGCATTTGCGAGGGACATGCATGCGAATGCCCCCTCCTCTTCCCCAGCTTTAACACCACAGAGCATCATTCTGAATTGAAATAGTCCATAATGGTCCCCGTTTTCACTTTTCTTTAACAACATGAACGCTAAATTATAGCTGTGCAATTATGTAAACAATGGAAATGCTTCCAGAATGAATACTTCCTTTTAAATTTTCATTTTGTGTAATTGCTGAAAGGTTTGGAGCCATAATAAACCAAAATTATTTTACACATTTATCGTTCTAAAGGTCAATTATGAAAGAAGTAAAGCAACAACAGTGTGCGGGATGAGTAAACCAATTTCCACGGCCATCACCATATGTTTTTCTTGTGGCTCGTGTTTTCCAGTTGCTGTGTACACAGCATTCAATTGATGTGATTCATTGGCCGGGCTGGGAGCTGCTGCCCAGTTTGCTCCCCTGTTTGCAGGGAGGGCAGGAAGCGGGGCTGTGTTTGAGTTACCTGATTTTGCCCTGTTGCTGATAGCACAGCTGTCCTGGCTCCCCGTGCTCCCATGAGCCTCTCGCTGCTGATCAGCTCTGCCAGCCCCCGGGCCACTGCCCCGCGTCCCCAGGTGCCACCAGCGCTTCGTGGCACAGGGATGGAGCTGGCAGGCTACCTGTGAGCTCTGGCCTGGGCTGCTGCTGGCCCTGCCCAGCCCAGCAGCGGTGCCATGGGGCAGGGGACAGCCTGCCAGCCCCAGCTGGGACCCAGAGTGCCCGGGGTGAGATGTTCAGTGCTCAGGGTGAGATGTTCACTGCTCAGTGCCCAGGTGAGATGCTCAGTGCCCAGGTGAGATGTTGAGTGCCCAGGTGAGATGTTCACTGCTCAGTGCCCAGGGTGAGATGTTCGGTGCCCAGGTGAGATGCTCACTGCTCGGTGCCCAGGGTGAGCCCAGCCGAGCAGGTTGTGTCAGGAGATGGCTCCTGGTGGGTGTCACTGCAGCCAGCAGCCCACACTGGGAGTTCAAAGGGAAGCCAAGGACTGCTTCAAGAGCTTTCCAAAGGGAATTTCTGGCAGGTTTCTCTCTATGGAAAATGGTTTATTTTCAGTAGCACTGCATCTCGGAACTGGCGAGTCGGTCCCTGCAGCCTTTGGGGCCGTGGGTGCCATCACGGTGCTCCAGCATGGCAGGAGCTGTGGTGTGGCTCTTCCTTGCCCTGCCATGGGAGTGCTGAGCACAGGAGAGGGGCTGGGGCCCTGCTGTGTGACAGCTGGGGGCCCTGGGTGAGCACAGGGCTTGGTGCAGCAGCTCCCTGTGCTGCCGCCGCCTCCCCGGCCAGGTGAGCCCGGGCTCCTTGGCGGTGGCACGTGTCAGCAGCAGCCTGCTCCCATCTGCTGCCCTGCTCAGGGCCAGCCCAGCCCTCTGTACAGGTGTGCTGTGCCTTAATCAGCCCCTCCTTATAACGAGGTGGCTCCTTTGTTCTGTGCCGAGCCGGAGTGTACCGCCCGCTTTATGAGCGGCTGCATCCATCTGCTCTGCTTCTCAGTGTTTGCACTGACCCATATTGACTCAAAATGTATGAAAGGAAGTGATTAAAACAAGTTTAAACATTAACTTGAGTGGCATTTTAGCTTATTCAGGAAAGTGAAAGCGTTCTCTGCTACCATGTTAAAAAGGAATACTGTTTATTTGAATGTGCAGCAGTTATTGCACGGGATGCTGGTGTGGCAGGCACTCAGCGCAACACCAAGTGAGAGAAAATAGTGCTGGTGTTAAAGCATCTCTCTGTGGAGAGAAAACTGGATTCATCAGCTTTAGCTTCTGCTGGAGAGACTGAGCACATGGACACGTTCTGGGGGTCTTTGACACATCATGAAACCAGTAAGGGTGGACATGGAAAAGGGTTTTCCTTTGCAACTTTTCAAAATTTTACTGAATGGAAAATAATTGCCTACTCAGTACAGAACTAGCTTGATGTAAGTCTTCAGCAAATACAGTGTCACAGGCGAGGATGATATAGATTTTGTGCCTAATTTTAAACCTGCTGAAAGCTTGCAGGGAAGAACTCTTAAATACAGGAACTTTGCTATGGTTTGGAGGGACTGTGAAGACTTGAAATGTGGAAGGATTAAAGATGGAATTCTCGATGTGCTCTGTACCACAGGGTGATGGCAAGCCGAGCTGGGGCTGCTGGTCTGTTCCTTCAGGGAGCAGGCCTGGGGGGCAGCTCGTGTTCTTGTGGCATGGAATTCTGAGAGATGGGAGGAACTGGCTCCTCTGGACTGCTGCAGTGCTTCATCTTAGATCCATTGTGTGTTTGCATGGTTGAGTCCAAGGTCTTGTTTAGCAGAATGGCTGTGCTTAGGCAAGAAGAGACAGGAATGGTGGTGTGGGCTTTGAACAGGAATTTAGGGGTACAAATGTTACCAAAACACCAAATGCACTTTGGCTGCTCCACACCCCTGAAGTGGGAGGCAGTGATTTTGTGGAGGTCAGCTGGCACACAGAGCTCTGGGAGTGTGCACCTCGATCGGTGTGGGACTAGGGAACCTCACAGTTAAATCTTCTCCAACTCTCCCTTTTGCTTTTGGGCTTCCTGGCTTTGCTGACAGATGCCTTCTCTTGCAGGACATCCTGAACACTGTCATCAAGCACTGCCCACCGTGGTTCTTCTTCCTGGGGCTGCCGGGCTTCACGATGCTGATCGGGGACTTCCTCGGCGCGGCGGCGCGCGTGCTGAGCGCGGACACGCCGGAGGTGAGCGCGGCACAGCCCGCTGCCCGGGCCCTCGGGGTGACACCGGGGGTGTCTGGGGCCGGGAAACCCTGGGATGAGGGAACCAGGTGCTGCAGGGGTGTTTGATCCCAGAGGAAAGCGTGTCCAGGCTGCAGCCAGCAGACAGCGAGAGCGGGGAACCCTCTGGGTGACGCAGCGTCCCCGGCTAAATGTCAGCACTAACAGAAATGGGGCTCCAAACGATCAAATTATCAAAGGATGAGTAAAACAGCAAATCGGTGAAGGGTTGCCAAAAATAAAGGTAAAGGTCTGGCAGTCCTGGGAGAAGCAGGGGAGCTCAGCTGCACGTGAAACATCAGCTCAGGGGAGACCTTTCTGTCTGTTCTGGCTCAGCGCTTCTGCTGCTGCTCTTGAGGTTTGTGTGGCTGAGCAGGTGGCCCTGTGCCGGGCCACAGCCCTCTCCTGTTCCAGCAGAGCTGGAATGGTGAGCCAGCCACGCCTCTTCCCTCAGCTCTCCAAGAGCTTGGTCAGCCTCACCGCTGAGCCAAAGCTTAAATGCTAATAAGAAATGGATGCTCGGTTTTCCATGGAAAGAAAACAAACCAAAACACCCCCTTCCATTTCTCCTGCATGCATGAAACAAACATTGCACAGCAGTTGGTGTTCGTAGCTCGTGCCCTGGTGCTTTTGTTGGAGCAGGATCTCTCTGCACATTGGCATCACCTGTGCAGCCAGCACGAGTGGGTTCTGTGCCACAGGACCACCTCATAGCACTGCTGGCTTGCTGCTTCACCCCCTCACTCAGCTCTTCTTCAGGGGGTTCTGTGCTTTCTGATGGCATCAAGTGCCTGATTGTCAGCTTGGGGAATGAGGGGAAGTATTACAGATGTAGGTGAGCTCAGGAGTGGGGCCAGGTGCCAGTGGAGGGGCAGCTCAGCCTCACCAGGGGAACAGAGCAGCACAGCAGAGAAAGCATGGGCAGGAAGGTGTGTGTCAGGTACTGCTGGCACCCAGCTCGTGCTGCAGCTGCAGGGGAAAAACTGCTGGGATGTGTTCCTGTGGGTGCTGGGATGTGCCCCTGGGGGTGCTGGGATGTGTTCCTGGTGCAGCTGGGTGCTGGGATGTGATTCCAGCAGGCTGAGTACAGCAGTGCTCCCTGGAGCTGGGGACATCTCCAGTGTGAAGGGTTTTCAGTGTCTATTTTAGTGAATTTTTTTAGTGACTATTCCTGCCTGCTTGCCCTTGGCCAGGCTCCCCGCTGTGAAGCTCACACCATCCTTGGTGCTCTTGTGTGCTTTCCAAACACCTACCAAGGAATCCCCTGGGTGGGACCCGTCTCAGAAGGCAGTGAGAGCATCACAGGGAGTGCAGATATGAAGGTAAATCCACATTTATTGTAAATCCTTAGGTAACCTAACCTGGTTTCACTGTGCAGTGACTTCATTCCTGCCCAAGTGGTTGCCCTGACACAAGCCTCTGCTGCTTTTGATAAACTTGAGGCACTGCAGTGATGACCTGCTTGAAATTCAGGGTGGCTGGGGAGGAATCTCCGAGTTCCTCATGTGGCCTGAGCAGGCAGGACCAGAGAGGATGCAGAAATCCCTTTCACACGCTTGGCTCCTGTTCTTGCTTCTTCATCAGGCCTTGGACAGTCACCGGAGGTGTCTTCCTTCTACAGCTAAGACAGTTCTGTCTTTTCTGTACTAAACAGTACGCTAAATTTTTCCTGACGTGTTTTGGTTAGAACCTAAACACTACATAGAGTATGGTGTGGAGTGACCAGCACTTGTTGTTTGTAACTGCCCACTGTAAAAGAATTGGTTTCCTCTCGCTGCCTGTACATGAGCTGTAAGCTGATTTGATTTGTCCACAAGGGCCTGTCTATTCGAGTTGTAATCGGTGTTTCTCCCTTGACAAAATGCAACTGGCGTGACGTAAAGATGCTTTAGCAACAGATGGAGAATTAGTGACTTCACCTGTAACTATGTCAAAATTAAACAGCTTTAAAGTAGATGTATGAGAAAGATTCTTATTCTAATTTATTTTGTTATTTTAGTATTGCCTCATAAATATTTTATTGAAGAATGCTACAGAGGAGCCAAGTGAAGCTGCAAGGTAAAATACTGAGTAAAAGAAATGGGAAAATATCATAGAATAGGTTGGAAAAGACCTCTAACACTATCAAGGCCAACCATTTATGGGTTGGAAAACTCTTTCTTGCTGCTTATCTGCTGCTGCTGCCTTGTGGTTTGGTCCTGTGAAAGTTGAGCCTTACCCTGCACCATGAAGGTGCTGGCCTGTCGTGTTGGAGGGGAAAGAGAGATCTCATCTTTGTGCATTTTTTTCCTTTTTTTCCCCCCCCCTAAATACTCCTGTGAATCTCCTGACCCTCTGTGTTTTCCTCTGCCCAAAGATGCATAGCCATCTGTGGCCTGGGCGTGTGGATCTGCGAGGAGCTGACGCAGTGCACCAGCCACCCCCACGTGAAGAAAGCCATCAATGTCATAGGTGTGACACTGAAGGTATTGCTGTGCGGGGCTCTGACCAACCAGCTCCGGGGCAAAAAAGGCATTTTTGCTTTGCAGACAGCCCCTGATGATCTGAGGCACAGGCTGCAGCTGTGCAAGCGTGCAGGGTGTTTGCAGAAACAGCCCCTGTGCCTGCAGACCCCTTCCCCAGCAAACTCACCCAAGAGATCACATAGGTCGTGTCCAACCTGCTGGTTCCTGACGCCGACAGTGTGATTGCACAGCCCTAACCTTGTTTGTTGTCTGCAAAGATGCAAAAGCTGAGTGCAGTGCATTGTAGCTGGACACTTTATTTGGCTCTTAATCACCTTTTTTCTTCCAGTTTCCCAACAAGCTGGTAGCTCATGTCGCCTGTGATGTCCTTCAGCTGCTGGTGTCGTACTGGCAGAAGCTCCAGGAGTACGAATCCTCCCTGTGCCGGAAAATTACTGAAGTACGCCAGATTCCTTAAAGTGTTTGTATGGAAATCGTGTGCAAAGTTGTCTGAATCCCCTCCTTGGGCTGCTGTGATTTTGCCAACTCCTGCTTTTTTGTATTGTTAGGGGGGTACTTGCTGCACTCCCCGGAGCAGTGTAGGTCCCTGGTTTGTAGGGACTTGTTTGCAAAATGCCCAGGAAAACCTTTTCTTTCCCTGGGATGTTGATTGTCACAGCAGCTGGATGCTCCTGGGAGAACCTGACCTGTTCCACAGCCCGTGCAGTGAAGGTCTGTCTCTGCAGAGGAAGAGGCTGAGTGCCCTTCTGACTCTTGGTTTGTTTGGCTGCAGATCCTGGTGGCCACCATCGCGTTTCTCCTGCCCGGTGCCGAACACTCCTCCCTGGAAGCGGATAAGAAGGTGTGTCGCTGAAAAGAGCCCTCTCCATTCCTCGTCCTGTCTGAGGGGGATTTAAATCAGCTTGCTCCCAACCAGAGCTGAACTTTAAGCTTTCCAGCTCATGCCCTAGGGTCTGGGTGGATTTAACAGAGCGTTCCTAAATGCCGTGTTCTCGTTCAGTTCATAGTTTCTCTGCTGCTTTGTCTGCTGGACTGGTGCATGGCACTGCCCATGAAAATGCTGCTGGAGCCCGTGTCTGCAGGTGCTGTGGAGGATCAGCAGGCATCCAGAGCTCCTCTGCTGGATTATATTTACAGAGTGAGTAGGGGGAAGGAAGGTGGTTTACTCTGCCTGGCTGTTTAAAGATGCCTTTCACACACCCTGAAGGCACAGAAGCAGCTTTGTCAAGCGCTGGAAGATCATCTCATCCAGGTGAGAAGTCACAAATGCAGAACGTTAAGAAGGTGAGATTAGAGATGTGGGACAGACAGGGGATGGTGAAGACAAAGGTAAAATGCTTAAAACAATGAGCTGGGGAAATAATCTTTGCAGGGATATTTGGATTATTTGCAGTGGGCTGTTAAGATACAGAAGAAGCTGTGAAGCGAGCTGTTGAGGTGCAGAATGGGTGCAGATGGAGATGGCTGATCTGGAACACTGAATTTGGGCCCGGGTGGGCTGTGTGGTGTGTCAGAGCCGGGCCCTGCTGGCTGGGTGTGTTGGGATTACGGGATCTGTCCGGGGTTGCTCACCGCTCCGTGTCCCCGCAGGTCCTGCACTGCTGCGTCAACGGCTCCAGCACCTACACCCAGCAAAGCCACTACGTGCTGAGCCTGGCCGACCTCTCCTCCTCTGACTACGACCCCTTCCTGCCCCTGGGGAACGTCAGGAGCCCCTCGGAGCCAGCCCAGTGCCCCTCCTCCACCGACCTGGGGAACCTGCTCACCGTGGCCGAAGGTGAGGTGTGCCCAGGGCTGGGCCAGCCTGTGTGTGCAGCGCTGGGGAGCTGTCCCAGGCTCCATCTCTGTGACAGGATGCTCGAGTTCCTTCCCAGCGCTGCTCCGCAGAACAAATTCACCTTTAGAAGATGTAAAAGGAAACACTGTAAAGCAAAGAGAAATAGTTTTACACTGAATATGAAAAAACCCAGAAGTTAGGGGGTTTCTGGCTGTAAGAGGAGTAACATTCCCGTGGGAGAAGTGGAGGCACAGCAGAAGCTCAAGAGCACAGACACTTGATGAAATAGCTGGTGGATGTGCCTGTGCTGAGGGGACCATCTGGGCATCCAGGAAGTCTCTCCCTGCCTCACCCGAGACCTTCCCACCTGCCAGGGACAGAGCAGCATTTATTTGCAGTCACATCTCTGGTCTGCCTTGGCTTTTCTGCTGATGGCTGTGGGGATGTGGTGAAGTCTAATAAAGCTGTGGGGCAGGTAGGATCTCTGGGAAAGCTGTTGGAAACATTTCTGTGAACAGGAAGGATCAGCAGGTCACAAGGGGCAAGTTGCTGCAGCGAGGCAGAAATCCACACGTGCTCCTTCTGTATTGCCTCTTGCCGCTCCTGCTGATCCGCTGTGCTTTTCTCGGTGCTTCCAGAGAAGAGGAGGAGGAATTTGGAGCTGATCCCTCTGACGGCGCGGATGGTCATGACTCACCTGGTGAATCACCTGAGCCATTACCCGCTGAGCGGGGGCCCCGCCATCCTGCACAGCCTCCTGAGCGAGAACCACGACAACTCCTACGTGGAGTCCTCCGAGCTGTGCTCGGAAGTGTTCCGCAGCCCCAACCTGCAGCTCTTCGTGTTCAACGACAGCACTCTCATCTCCTACCTCCAGCTCCCCGCCGAGCAGAGGCCGGGCCCCGAGCCGGCCGCGGCGCCCTCGGACGTACGGGTGATCGTCAGGGACATCTCGGGGAAGTACTCGTGGGACGGCCGCGTGCTCTACGGGCCCCTGGAGGGCCGCCCGCCTCAGCGCGGCACCGCCACCGCCACCGGTGAGGCGCAGCAGCTCGGCCTGTGCCGGGACAGCGAGGTGCAGCAGCTCGGCCCGTGCCAGGACAGCTTCACCGGTGAGGCACGGCAGCTCGGCCTGTGCCGGGACAGCGAGGTGCAGCAGCTCGGCCCGTGCCAGGACAGCTTCACCGGTGAGGCGCGGCAGCTCGGCCCGTGCCAGGACAGTGACACGCAGCAGCTGGGCCCGTGCCAGGACGATGAGGAGGGCGAGGACGCGCTGGACCAGCTGCTGGAGCGCATCGGGAGCAGCAGCCCCGAGT